TCTTTTATCAACTCAACTGCCTTCTTGTTGCTCTCTCACCTGATTTCTCTGTCTTAGAATGTGCCTTCACCAGTGGATGAAATATTGTTACTTATTCTCTACCTCCAATATAGCTTTCAACATAGGTGTGAAGATCAAATACTTCCCTTCTGCGGAGGTAAAGCTTTTATTGGCCCAAATAATCAGGTACCCTGACAGGAGTTCCAAATGAACATTGAATTGAACAAGTCACAAATAGCATTGGAGCTCTTGAAGATGGGTGACAACATATGTTACTGCTTCCAACTTGGCATACTAGGTACTCATGGGCTGGAGGGCATATTTAGAACCAACCCTAACTCCCTCAGCAGGGTTGCAGATCTCACAAGCTGTCCTTCTTTCTCCTTCTACCACAGAGCTATACCATCCAAAACGAGTTCCTTCTTTAGGGTATATATTGACATGCATACCCCCTTCAGTGTCTCAAAAGCTTTACACTATGCAAATATGTGTCATTGTCCACATTCCTTGCCAAATTTGACTCTGTAAGGTTTCAATTTCAGATCTATGTGACTTAATAACATGATCCACCTGGCTACCATTGTACTACTGACTGTCTCATCCTTTACTTTCCTCTATAATAGTATCCTGGTTAGGGTATGAAGGGTAGTTAAGATAATGTAATGAGTGCCTCTTACTGCCCAGAAGGTGGCTAACAGTTGTTGCTTACAGGTTGAGTCCGCCTTTTCCATGATCGTGCGGTTTTCGGATTGGCCATGTGGGTGGATTTATGCTAGTGGCAACGGGATGTAGTATTCTCTGCTGTACTGAGAACCCTCCTGCTGCTTCTTGAACTCATTCTGGTTCTTTTGGAAATGAATATCTGCACTGCATCCTCCTCTAAAAATGTTTATGATTTGCAAAAGTTGTCACTTTTTTCTGTACTTGACTCTGCTATGTCTCAAGCACATGCATCAAAAGTTCCTGCAGGTTAAATGATTTCATGCTAAATGTTCTCCCTTTGGTGATTGAGCAAGGATCACCAAAATCATTGGATCCACCATCACCCCACCCCTTAACAAATCATTGGCCACATCAACAGCCATACAGTGGGCTGTCATCCAATCTGCTCTCAAAACTCCATCAGTAAAATCACATTTGGTTAATATGCATTCGGTCTCAAGGGAGCGCCCCTTACCCTCAATGGTTTAGATATGGCCCCTACTGCCGGGTCACCTGCAAACCCTTGCATTTGGAAAACCATGCCACTAGATAGGGTGATTTATATGGCATGGCCGAGTGGATCGCTGTTCTGGATTCTCCTGCATATACCAGCTAGTGATCCACTCTTCCCTCTGCACTCACGGACGCAAGATCCTCCCCAATTCCTTATAAATTTTTGGGCACAGGTACTCCGGATGGGAGCTGCCCCTTGGTACCTGGCTGATACCTTCCACCTTCTCCAGTCTATGAGTGGACTTTCCTCAATTGGCTCTTCACGCTGCCATTTTCTTCTACAGCTCGTCCACCTTAGAATTTAACAGATTTCTGTATCCATTTCCTGAGGAGGCATTTTCCCCTTTTTTGAGATTAAGGGATTAAGATTAAGAGGTTAAAAGTTTATTTCTTTTACTTTCACTTAAAGTGTTCCTTCTGTCCAAAGTTGTGACACTTAAAACTATTAAAGGTATGACTCCTAATATTTCCCTTTCTGTTTCCAGGACTTAGGGGCCATATTCTAGGCCTCACAGACTTTTCTCCTTCACTTCTGCTCAGGTCCTGCTTTCTTATCCATTTGGAATCAAGTTCATTTTCCTTAACATCCCTACCATGATGTTGTTGTCTGCCTCAAGGTCAAATGCCACCTGGAGGTACAGCAGTGAGTGAACTTAGCCAGTGGTTTTGAGGCCATTCCATTAGACCTATCCAGTTTAGGGGTGTCTAACGATGCCTCGAGGCGCTCAGTATTCGGTGACTCAGTTGGTGCCTGTGTGACTCTCTCTAGCAAACAAGTCACATCGTTGCTCATTATTTACACACTGACTTTTTACAAACTGTACACTTCTCCTTCTCAAGTTCATGTTTCTCCACCTCATCTCTCCTTCCCAGCTATTCCTCTTTCAGTTCCTTCATCTCCCTCAGTTCCATTTCTCTCCATCTGATCTGTCCCTGGTTTCACCAACAACCATTACACAGATCAATTAACCTTTTAACTTCAGCTTCTTTTTCATCTAACTGTTGTTTTACTGTCTCCCATCTCCTCGAGATATATAACCTGATTCTTTTAATATGTCATCAACCAGGCAGCTTTTTCCACTTTCATCTTCTGGGTAGACTCTCATACCCACTTATCAGCCTCGTCCACTAAATAATAACCCTGTAAAATTATTTGGACCTATCTCTTATTAAGAGATAACTGCTTGATTACATATTTAGTCATTAATTCTTCAGCTTCAGATTTAATCAATTCTCTACCTTCAACCTCATGAAAGGCTTGCCAAATCCTGTAAGCTATTTCTATTCCTGTCAGCTTCGAAAGTTTACTCTGAGTATCAATGACTTAAAACTTAGAACTTTCCTAAACAATTGTTCCTTCATTGACTGCTAATCATGTTACATACACAATCCAGTAATACTTCAGGTATGAAATTCATCTTTCACCCTGTGCCCTAAATGCTTTGTTTCCTGAGATAGAGGCAGACAGTGGATGATCAATCCACCTTCTGCTGTTCTCCTCTTTAACAACTAACTGAGCAATCTGTTTCCTTCAGCTTTGACTGCAGCTTGGCAGTAACAGTTCTGAACAAAAACAAAGTTGCTGGAAAAGCTCAGCAGGTCTGGCAGCATCTGTGAAGGAAAAAACAGAGTTAACATTTCGGGTCCGGTGACACTTCCTCAGAACTGATAGCGGCTATTTAGTAACAGTTCTGAGTTCAATGAGCATTCTGCTGAAACAGATCTCTGTATCGCCATTGCCCGCTACACACTTTCTTATCAGCTTAATTCTCTGATAGCATCAGTCCATGATTGGACTATTTTTATCCCAGTAACTTCTCATAGATCAGAAGGATCCGACAAGTTTGCCTAATCTCCTTCTAAACCTGTTGACCAGAAATTTTAGCCTGATCCATTGTACGTTTTGTTTTGCATCCTAAGTTTCCATTCACCTGGTTTGTTGCAACAGAAAAGATTCATTACCCATCTGTCCTTGGTTTCACCAATAATCGTTACACAGGATCAATTATAAACAACAACATTCCTACTTATTAAATAATGTTCTACTATTGAAGTTGACTGGACAGCTAGTTTGCAAAGCAGGGTGATGTGTGGGTTCAATGTGGGTTCAGAGCAGTGTGGATTCAATTCCCACATAGGCTGAGGTGACTGTGAAGGGGTCTCTTTCTCAACCTTTCCTCTCACCTGAGATATGGTGACTCTCAGGTTAAACCACCACCAGTCATCTGTCTTTAATGAGAGAGCAGCCATTTGGCTTAGTAAGACTGTAGCAACTTTGCCTTTACTATTATCTTAAACAAAACTGTATGCACACAGTCACACATTCCTAACACAATGAAAAACCACATAAACCACAATTTGTAACCACAGATTGGCCTTTGATGTGAGATAAATTAGATGTCAAATATCCCAGTAGCCTTTGTGTTTCACTATATTAGCCTTAAAAATAAAGAATCCTATATTGACTGTATTAACCTTTAATAATTTTGGACATAATACCAGCAAATAGCAATTGTGAGCAAAGTACTTCCCTATATTCATACCTTTAAATGGAGCAACTGGCCACAAGGTGGCATGAGTGATACTTCATTGTGAATAACCTTTCACCTTTGTAAATATATATTCACTTGCATTGTTAACATGTCTGTCCTCGTTAAATTTTCTACAATAGGTTGTCACACCCACATGAGAGATGAGCTGGCCAAAAGTCTGAAAGTAATTACAATCCCCAAACATTATTCTTAATATTTGTCCCTTTTTCTATTTTCAGTAGTTTCCTCAGAGCTAGTCCCCTCTTCCCAGTTAGACACAAAATTATGTGATAAAGTGAAAGGAAATTGATGGATTTTCTTCCTTTCAAAGGGAGAACCTCTTAATCTGTCTCTCTCCATCTTCTCTATTTGTATTCCTCTTCAGTAGTGTGTTTCCCTTTTCTTGTCTGTCCATCCATTTTCTCCGATTATTTATAACTCTCTACCTTTTCTCAATTCCAGATTTCATTCTCTCCTCATCTCCATCAATACCAACGGCTCCTGTCATTCCTCCAAAGATCCTAATTTATCATGTCTCTCCTTTCCTATCAATCCCTATATGACACTTGCTTTTATCCTACATTGCAGTTCACATTGGAATATTCACAAAATATAATGGCATTACTTAGCCATAAAATGAGCCACAAGTCTCATAAAAGAGTTGATAAGTGCCAAAACTATATTTAACTTTTATTTTGTGTTTAACTGGTCTTTATCCTATTTTTCTCTCTGGAACTGAATCAATTAGTTTCTCTCTCTTTTTATCTTTTGCTGAAGTCTGCCTACATCTCTTCCATTTTTCTTTTTTGAAGCATGGATGAAATGGTGACATACTGTTATAGGCAGCCACCTTTCCATGGAGTTCCACTTATAAACACATTTACATCTTGATGTTGCATATCAGCCAACAACATATAGGTTTGCACTGCACCATCTTATTAAATATACAAAACTATGGAACTGCAGTGTTAATCAAGTCATAACATTTAATAATGTATGGAAATATTGATTAAAATTTATACAATTAAATATTTAGGGTTAATATATTCATTTTATACTACAGAAAATGTTTCATGTTTTCTGAATTTAAGATGATTTAAAATTACCATCATTATTTTCCAGAAAAAAAAACTAACAATTTGGCTAAAAATGTTTGAATATAACAGTTTAAAACTTATAAGAAGATGGCAATAAAAGATAGCAAACTATATTTTTGTTCATTTATTTTAAATTTGTCACAATTTTCATATTCAATTACTTTCCCCTAATTCTCTTATATCTTTCAATAATCTCTTTGCCTTGATCGATTATGAAATAGTCCAACCAGTGAGAAGGCACTAGCGGCAGCCGTTACAAAGGAAATGGCACTTATAGCTCTGTCTGCCTGAGGAAACAAACAACAAAATATTAATATAACTGGTCAGCTATTGTGGGAACGCATTGATTAAATGTCATGTTAAAAAGTAAACATGAAAGAATCATTTCAATATATCCAAAAACATTTTATGATAGAGGCGTCTACTTCAGAGCTATTTAGAAATTGACAGGCATCATTTTACAAAATGCTTGCTAATATTTCTTTGCGAATTGACAAGCATTTTGTTCATGTATACTTTTCAATGAGATACCCATTCAAGAATAATGATCTTTTGCCAATGTTAAATGTTCCTTTAGCTTGCACAAATCTGAAGGTATATGAGTAAAGAACCCTAAGGAAATTGGCATCGGCAATGAATCTTACATCAGTCTGAGATCTGCATCTTACATTTGTTTTCTGAGGTGAAGTGGGTATATTAGAATTGCACAAAATAATTATAATTGAGATAGACTTTTAGACAAAGTTTCATACCTGATCAGACACACCCTCACCATAACGAAGTAAAGTGACAAAATGTTCACAGTTATTTCCAAGCAAATCATACGACACTTCCTGACCAATCAGAAATTCTGCTCGCTTAACAATTTCATGCACTGGTAAAGGTGTGTGTTTGTCATCATATTTATTATTTATTTTGAAAGTGTCTTGCCCAACAACATCTTTAAGTAGTTGCATTTTTGCCATTGCTTTCCTGCTGAAAACTGACTTTGCGCTAGTGAATGGTGCAGCTGGCCCCTCCTCTGTTGAAAGAAAAGAGAGATTTAGTAAGACAGTAAGACTGCTTTTGGTTCAGGAAGAAGACTACAGGCTTCTAAGGTCACCAGTATTCTTCTTATTTTAACATATTGCAACTATGATGTTATAGCTGTTAAAAAAAGTTATGTTTTAAATACAATTTACTGTAACAATGTAAACTTTTCCAATGTTAATACAACTATTGATCTGCTCTAAATACCTGCTTATGGTCCATACAAATAACTATGTTTGCTTCAACTGTTATGAGCTCTTTGTTGTCATTTTGTAATGTTTTATAATCATCAGCTGAAGAGATTCACAGGATGAAATCTTATAGGGGTCTGTGGGATCGTGTTCAGGAACGACCGAGATTGGTGAGTAGGGAAAATAGCCTCTTTATTGAGCACCTGCAGTAGCACAGTTCGAGGTGGTGATGGGATCCGAAGTACAGTTTTATAGTAGCCTCTTTGATACACAGTTTTTACATACATTAAAGTTTTAGCACTATGGTGTCGCATAGTTGTATCTGTTGTACATAAACTTGAGCAACATCTGTCCAGGGGAAACCGGAGATGGTTTAAGCACTTGCTAAATGCTATTTGTTACTCCTGATGGGATTAGCATATCTGCTCGGTTTGAGCTTGCATAATTAAGAGATGTTAGTCCTTTTGTCTTTATGATCTAAATAAGTGAGAAATTATACATGCACTAAATAAAAGTATAGAGGATATTAAACTGATCTCCCACAGCTGGGTCGTGAGATTTCATTTACTATTGTAGGTTTAGGCCGTTCTTACACATTCATTCATGCAGTTTCACGGAAGCACTGTTTGGATTGTAAGTTTCTTAAAGAGAGTAGTGGTCCTATTTAATGCGTATATGATTGGTATAAATCCATATGTTAGTACAAGACAGTAATCCTAAATAAAAGTTAGGACTAGGTAGTACAGTTAAGAGACAGTTAGAGTATAAGGAAATTTCAAAGAGATAAAGAGCAGCAGACTGTAGGGACATGCTAGTGGAGGAAAGTGATGTCCTGCAACCAAATCAGATCCTGACAGACAGTTAATATAGAATATTATAACCTTTCCATAGTTTTGAGTGAGTTATGGAGACACAATGGTAGGGATGGCATTGTTCTGAGTAGGCTACAGTATTAACACTTATTCAGGAGTAGCCTTTGATACAGAAACAGGTCTAAACATTGCTTGCAGCATTCGGTCGATAAGACTTGGAAGGTGTAAAGAAACAGTAATGGGTTGGAAGGGATGTTTAATTTATTTTGTCTTGTAAAAGTAAAATGTAATACAAAAACGTGGTTTTACGAATGAGCAAATGGAAATACGGTATAGTAAACATAGAGTGCTTGAGAGTGAGTTAGTAAAGAGAATGATAATACAGTATCTCACAGAGTTTGAGTGAGAATGAGTTGACTTGCTCACCGAGCTGGCTTGTTCTCATTCAGATGTTTTGTCACCATGCTAGGTGACATCATCAGATGAAGGGGTTATTCTACCCTGCTTGGAATTTATACTGTCTGGTCCGTTATGGTGAGTAGTGTCATTTCCAGTTTGGTCTGTGTGGCTTTGTATATAGGGTCCAATTCTATATGTTTATTGATTGCCTTACAGGTGGAGAACCATGCTTCTAGGAATTCCTATGCGTGTCTATGTTTGGCTTGGGCTATTATGGTTACCTTGTCCCATTTAAATTGATGGCCTTCATTGTCTGAGTGTACCGATATTAAGGAGAGTTCATCGTGCCGTTTTGCTGTGAGCTGATGTTCATGTATTCTGATGGCTAGTTTCCTTCCTGTCTGTCCGATGTAATATTTGTCTCTGCTTTGACTCTGACTGAAGTGCCAATGTGCAACAGGCAAGGCATGACATGAAAAGGCAAGGCTCAACTTGGCATGGATTATGTGAGCGTTCAGGACAGCACAACAACGAATCAGCATTAAGAGAGTTAGCAAGCATAAATGAGATGTGGCCTGGTCTAATCCTCAAGCTGGGTCTCTGTTCGCACATACAAATATAACCCTGCTACAGCCATTTCAATTTAGTTGCTGATGTGCTGTGCAATGCTCACTGTGTGGCCTGCTAGTGCATCAGAGGGGTGCTAGTATGAACACTCCTTGGTATTGGTACACTCAGACAATGAAGGCCATCAGTTTAAGTGGGACAAGGTAACCACACTAGCCCGACACAAACATAAACACGCATGGGAATTCCTCGAGGCATGTTCTCCATCCGTAGTGCAATCAACAAACATATAGAATTGGACCCAAATATACAAACTCATACAGATCAAAACCGGAAATGACACTACTCACTATAACGGACCAAACAGTATAAATTCCAAGTGGAGTAGAATAACATTGCTTCATTGAAGGGTCCACTAATGATGTCACCCAGCATGGTGACAAAAGGTCTGAACGAGAACAAGCCGGCTCAGCGAGCAATTCAACAACCTCACCCACAACCCGAGCTACAGATCTTTGCCAAAACATTTTGACAATGGGCTATCGGGAAGTGTATGGCACAATTGAGCAACAAGTGTAGCAAGATCCTTCTCGATGTGGGATCCTCTTGCACCACCTTTTATGCTTTTTATGAGCGGAGTAATGAGATTCTCGCTAGGCAGTGGCGGCATGCCAACTGATAGGGATTAGCACTTGTTAAACACCTTGTTAAAGTTATGACTCTCCTGATTAATCTTCATCTGACCAAATCTGTGAAATAAGCTGGATGTTAAGAAAACTTGACATGGAAACCAGAGCAGGTACCTGGATAATTCAGCTCACTCCTTGCTCCAAATGACCTCTAGGTTGGACACTGGGCAGCAACCTTTCAGGGCACGGTCCATGGGTACCAGCTGCAGAGACCCTTGATCTACAGACATTGGCATCTGCAAACCCATCATGACCATATTAGCACCCCTCTGATGCACTAGCAGGCCACACAGTGAGCACTGCAGAGCACATCAGCAACTAGCATTGAAATGGCTGTAGCAGGGTTATATTTGTATGTGCAAACAGAGACCTAGCATGAGAATTAGACCAGGCCACAACTCAGTGGTGCTTGTTAACTCTCTTAATGCTGATTCGTTTTTGTGCTGTCCTGAATGCTCTCATAATCAATACCAAGTTGAGCCTTGCCTTTTCATGTCATGCCTTGCCTGTTGCACATTGGCACTTCAGGCAGAGTCAAAGGCTTTCACTACTGATGTTTAGGGTCTGTTTAGCGCAGACATACAGAATACTTGTCAATACTCAACAGTCTGTTACTGGTGAGTGGCAATGTGGAATTGCCTTGCAAACACCTGTCTGGGTACACAGTAGCCTTTCAAAAATGGCATGGGTGCAAGGACACAGTGGTGCGTTGTTCTGGGAAGACCTCTGGTAAGATTGGGGGGATCGGGAGTTGCCCTTTTGACAAGTGAGGACGTAGCAACAGTGCTTAGAGAGGATATTCTTAAGGGGTCATCAAGTAAGAAGATATGGTTAGAATGTAGAAACAAGAAGGGGATGGTCACTCTGTTGGAACTGTATTATAGACCCCCAAATAGCCAGCAGGTACTAGAGGAGCAGATGTGTAGAGAGACTGCAGATACCTGTAGGAATAATAGAGTAGCATTGGTTGGAGATTTTAATTTCCCCCATATTGACTGGGTCACCCAGAGCGTAAAAGGCCTGGATGGGGTCGAATTTGTCAAATGTTTCCGAGAAAGTTTCCTAAACCAATATGTAGGGGGCCCTACTCGGGAGGGTGCAACACTGGACCTCCTCTTAGGAAACGAGGTCAGGCAAGTGACTGAAGTCTCAGTTGGAGAGCACTTTGGGTCCAGTGACCATAACTCCCTTAATTTTAATACAGTTATGGAAAAAGATAAGACAGATCCGCAGGTTAAGGTGCTGAACTGGAGCAGGTTCAATTTTGGGACCATGAGGCAGGATCTAGCAGCAGTTGATTGGGTGAATCTGTTTGAAGGAAAAAGAACGACTGGCAATTGGGAGGCTTTTAAAAGTGTGATATCAAGAGTCCAGGGACAGTCTGTCCCTGTCAGTATTTACTGAGGAGAGAACAGTGGATGTTAAGAAAATAAGGGAAACAAGAGGGGATGTTTTGGACCGCATGTGTTACCAGAGAGGAGGTATTTGCAGCCTTAGATCACATTACGGTGGATAAATCCCCTGGGCCTAATCAACTCCATCCTCTGACATTGTGGGAGGCTCAGAAAGAAATTGCAGAGGGCCTTTCAGAGATTTTTGCTTCATCTTCAGCCACTGGTGAAGTTCCAGAAGACTGGAAGGTGGCTAATATTCCGTTGTTTAAGAAAGGTGGCAATGACAAGCTAGTGTAGGCAAGTTATTGGAGAGAATATTGAGGGACAGGATCAACCAACATTTGGATAGTCAAGGTCTGATTAGGGATACTCAGTACGGATTTGTGCGTGGGAAGTCATATCTGACAAATCTTTTAGAGTTTTCAAAGAGGTAAACAAGAGAATAGATGAGGGAGGGCACTCAATGTTGTCTATATGGACTTTAGTTAGGCCTTTTACAAGGACCCGCACGGCAGGCTAGTCATGAAGGTTAGGTTACTATTGTTACTTGTTTTTTACATAATTGATCTGGATATGAATGTATAAGGCATGATTCGTAAGTTTGCGGATGATACAAAATTAGGAGATATTGTTGATAGCGAGGAAGGTTATCAAAAATTACAGAGGGATCTTAATCAGATGGGGAAGTGGGCTAAGGATTGGCAAATGCAACTCAATATAGATAAGTGTGAGGTGTTGCATTTTGGAAAGTCAAACCAAGGTAGGACATATACAGTAGATGGTAAGGTCCTGAGGAGTGTTGTTGAACAGAGGGACCTAGGAGTACAAGTACATAGTTCGTTGAAAGCGGCATCACAGCTGGACAGGGTAGTGAAGAAGGCATTTAGCATGCTGGCCTCCATCGTTTGGGGCATTGAGTATAGGAGTTGGGATGTTGTTATGTAACAAATGTATAAGTCGTTGGTGAGGCCGCACTTGGTGTATTGTGTATAGTTTTGGTCATCCTTTTGTAGGAATGATATAGTTAAAATGGAAAGTGTGATCCGAAGATTTACGAGGATGTTGCCAGGACTAGTAGGCTTGAGTTATAGGGAGAGGTTGGCCAGGATAGGGCTTTACTTCTTGGAACGTAGGTGAATGAGGGGTGACTTTATTGAGGTGTATAAAATCATGAGGGGCATAGATAGTGTTCCAGTGAAGCCCAACACATACTGGAGGAACAACACCTCATTTTCCATTTGGGGACCCTACAGCCCTCTGGACTCAATATTGAGTTCAATAATTTTAGGGCCTAAACTCTCCCATGTCCCAGCCCCCTACTCCACACACATAGGGGTTTAAACCCCTTATTACCACATAGCCTGCCATTACACACCCCCTGTTGTTAGTCACTAACAGCCCCCATTAACAACTATTCACCCTCCCAGCCTGATCGTTAGCAACTCTTTTGTCTGTCCAACTGTCTTTCTCTTTCTTTGGGTCCTATCCTATCGTTTACTCTCTACCCCACCCACCTCCCTATTTTCTGCATATAGACTGATGTTTTCCCAGCCATCATCAGTTCTGGGGAAGGGTCACTGGACCCGAAACATTAACTCTGTGTTTTTTCCTTCACAGATGCTGCCAGGCCTGCTGGGCTTTTCCAGCAACTTTGTTTTGTTCCTGATTTATAGCATCTGGAGTTCTTTCGGTTTTTACCCAGATATGTTCTGGGGACCCAAGTTCAAATTCTGCCATGGCAGATGGTGGAATTTGAATTCAATAAAAATCTGGAATTAATAATCTAATGATGACCATGAATCCATGGCCGACTGTCAGGAAAAAAACCATCTGGTTCACTAATGTCCTTTAGGGAAGGAAACTGCCAACCTTACCTGGTCTGGCCTACATGTGACTCCAGACCCACAGCAATGTGGTTGACTCTTAACTGCCCTCTGGGCAATTAGGGATGGGCAATAAATGCTGGCCTAGCCAGTGACACCCTCATCCCGTGAATAAAAGAAGGAAAAAAAAGGTGAGAGGGGAAAGATTTAAGAAGGACCTGAGGGGCAACTTCTTCATACAGAGAGTAGTGTGTATATGGAATGGGCTGCCAGGTAAAGTGGTTCAGGCAGGTACAACAGCAACATTTAAAAAACATTTGCATAGGTACATGGATAGGAAGGGTTTAGAGGGATATGGACCAAATGCGGGCAATTGGAACTGAGGGGGCATCACGGTCAGCATGGACCAGTTTGGGCCAAAGGACCTGTTTCCATGCTGTATTACTCTCTGACGCTCTGATTCTAAGATGGTGCAGATAACATATGTGAGAACTCACTTGGCCTTGCAGTGACAAAACCTCCATAAACATTGTTGCAACTTGGAAAAACGCTAACAAAAGTAAGATTCGCCCGCAGACATCTTTCACCTGTTCTCCTACTGTTTGGGTTATTCTTTAACCTCAGTCATATCCATGCCGAAACTGAACTGTCATATCATTTTCCATTAAATTTACACCAGGTTTACAAGCCACTATCAGTCTCGTCAATTCTGCATAAGAGAAATTTGGCCTGTCCTTGAATGTTGCCAAAACAAAACGCATTTCAACTCACACATGTCTAATTATTTCACTTCCCAAATATGTAGGAGAGACTTTGAAATATCTTCGGCACTTCCCATATTTTACTAGCCACCTCTCTCAAAAAAGCCACCACTGAAGAAGAGGTCCAACTCCAGATCAGCTACACCAGTCTTCAGTAAACTATAGCAGTAAGTGTTTGAAAACAAAGACATCTGCATGTCAATAAAAGTCCTAGTGTACAGAGCAGTTGGCATCACCATATTCCTTTACAGTCGTGAGACCTAAACTCTGTGGGTCAGTGACACATTAGAGTACAGAAAAATCCTGTCAGCAACGTCTCTGCTACATTCACCTGAATCAAAGTGGGGGCCAACAAACACTTGTGTACTTTTTTAATCCAACTCCACACTCATTCGTGCAAAACTCCTACAAATTCAACTACGATGAACTGGTTACTGTGTTCAGATGGCAGAAAAGCATCTTCCCTGCCAGGTCTTATTTCTGCAGTCTTCAAATGCCAGTGTTCTAGGAGTGACGGATCAGAGAAAATGTTACATACACACTCTCAAGTTCTTCTTGAGGTGCAAATAAATTGACATTAATGACTGTCAGGAGGTTGCTACCAAAATAGCAACAACTTGTTTTTCAAGCTGCATCATGCTTTAAGTCATAACAATGTTGACAATAAGGCAGAGTAGCAGGAGAAAGAAAAAAAACAAATCCTGAAATCAGATCCTACCACCTCTTGGACACACTGCACTATGTGCATAAACATCTGTTGGTTTAAAATTAGCCTGTTCAGTCTCATGAAGTCCCATGGCAGAAAACCACGATTTTTGAGTACATGGGCTTCTCAAATCAAGGAACCACAATTAAGTTGAGATAGGAGAGTATGTGTGTGGTATGGTGTCATAGACTAGGTGACCGCTTCGCAGAACATCTACTTTCTGCTCACAAAAAAGACCCTGAACTACCTGTTGCCTGTCACTTTAATGCACCACCTTGTTCCCTGACCAACATCTCTGTCTCTGGCTTGCTGCAGTGTTCCAGTGAAGCTCTTTGCAAGCTAGAAGAACAACAACTCATTTTCCGCTTGGGGACCCTACAGCCCTCCAGACTCAATACTGAGTTCAATAATTTTAGGGCCTAAACTCTCCCATGTCCCAGCCCCCTGTCCCACACACCAGGCCTTGTTACCACATAACCTGCCATTACACACCCCCTGTTGTTAGTCACTAACAGTCCCCATTAACAACTATTCACCCTCCCAGCCTGATCGTTAGCAACACTTTGTCTGTCCAGCTGCTCTTCTCTCTCTCTAGGATCTACCTTATCGTTTACTCCCTACCCCATGCCCGCCCCTTTTTTCTGTCTATAAACTGACGTTTTCCCAGCCACTATCAGTTCTGAGGAAGGGTCACTGGACCTGAAATGTTAACTCTGTTTCCCCCCACCCCCTTCACAGATGCTGCCAGAGCTGCTGAGCTTTTTAGAGCAACTTTGTTTTTGTTCCTGATGTGCGTGGTATGTCCTAGTATTTAGTGAGGTTTTGGTCCTATAATGAGCACACATTTATTGAGGGAACTTGTCTCACATTTTGGAGTTGAATCTGGCAAGAAACTGAACAAAGGCTTGAATAGGGGTTATAGCTCAAGGATGGGTTGGAGTAGAATCTCATGTTACTGTTTAAATTGTGTGTCTTTATTTGGATCACATTGAAGATTTAAGAATCAAGACAATATAGCATTTAAGGGCTATTTTAAACTAAAGATTAGTTTTAAATTTGGATAGTTTAGAACAGAGTCAAAGGTCAAAGTTGGCATTAATTTTTTTCTCATGCATTTATCTTACCTAAAGGTGTGACATTTATAACATAACCATCTCCCAGGTAAAGAGCCCAATGCTGATATGCAGGTCTAAATATTTCAATTAAGTCCCCAGGCTGGGGATCCCCAGAGTATTCCACACTAAAGTGGTCATTAGAAGCCATCTGAAACAGAAAACATTTATTAGAGTTTTTATTAAAAAAAGTTCATTGAAAAATATTCTGCACAATTGATCAAAGTTTTCACACATAATATAATTTCCTGTGAGCTGCTATTGAATCATTTTGTACAAATGTTCATAATCTGGCTCAATAACAAAAAAAAAAGTTTCAAGTCTGGAAAATCAAACACTTAGCAGATCGTTCCCCTTAAGAAAAAGCCTGTAACAGTGAGCTTGCGGTAGAGACTAATATCTGGATTGAACTCAATACTTTGTACAGATGTTGGACTGGCCTGTTGAGTGTTTGCACCATTTTCTCACTAACTAGCAGAGAAAAGGAGAAAACTCACACAGCAACCTGACAGAGAGGGAGCTGTATGTTGATAGCTGTAGAAATGAAAGCTGATAGAAAGTTTGAATACTCTAGAAAGCTTTACAGTGACTGAGTGCTAAGCAGTGAGGTCTCATTAGCTAGTAAGTCTTCAGGAAATAAGAACTAACCAGGAATGCATTGTTTCACAGATGAAGACTAAGTTTATAAAAGGACATGCTTTATGACTCTATGACATATCTGTTTATGTATGGGCTTTGCTGTGAGGAATACTTCGATGACTAAGGTGTTTGTGCATCCAATTAATTTCTACACTAATGAGCTGACAATTGGCTATTTAAAAAGCATATGTTTTTTGTAACATTCAGGGTCCAAATATTTTGGTTTACCATTATGAATACATGAGTTTCTTTTTTCAATTCTTTGGGTGACTTGGGTCAAAGCTAATATGTATTGCCATGCTTAATTGCTGCTGAGAAGCTGAGCCATCTTTTTAACTACTGAATGGCCTGTTTGGCCTTTCAGAGGACAGTTAAGTCACTCAAAACTGTGGTTCCGGTATCACAGGCTAGATAGGGAAAATAAATCTGCTTCATTTAAAAATGTTGGCAGTGACATGGATCTTATGGAAGATGTGGAGGTCTCGTCAGCTGGCGGTGCTGATCTATGTGATTCTTTATGGCATGGCCTATTGAATCCAATGCCAATCAGACATTGGTGAGACCAACAGTGGGCTGTTACCTGGAATTAGGATCCAAAGACCACTGTAGTGCCAGAGAGCTTGCCAACTAATATGAGGCCAGTGGCTCTTATACTCAGCAGCGTCACAGAGGAAGCCAAGGCTGCTAAGAACACCCAGGATCAAGGTGTAAGGTAAGTGATTTGTGGGTGAGGGCTTTCTAAGATGGTGTGAAAAGATCCAAGTGGTTGGGTCCCTGCTCACATCGCTTTTCCTATGTTCAGTCCCTCAATCAGGCATTGATTGCCTTTGATCAAGGCGTACCCACTCAAGCTGACAGTATTCCAGCTCAGGTTCACCTGCTGGGCACACAATATGGTGATAGGCCTATCTACCTGAGTTAATTATTACAGTGGCAGAATGAGGCTATTAAATTGTCCTTAATTGGCCACTTAAGTCCTCAAAGTTTGACCTTCCTGTTTGCTCCTCACTTATTTTGAGTGGAGGTGAATAGGTGGTGGATGCAGGTAATGCCAGCATTCCATCCATTTAAGTGGCCACTTTCAGGACCGCAAAATTTTATTCATGGCTATCATTATTGAAACTAGCATTTTATCCCACTTTATGACATTAACAACATCATCAGATGAGAACCACTGTATTACAAACCCATTGACATAGCCATTATGTTACCATTCTGAAGTAGCTTAGTTGGTTGACTGGTTGTGATGCATAATGATGCCAATTGAATGGGTACAGTTACCACTGAGGTAACTAAAGAGGTCTTGCATTACCAACCTTGCCCCTCACCACCTGAGGCATGGTGATCGTCTGACTGAACTCACTACCAGTTGTGTGTCTCAAGTGAAATAATACTCCTATGAGACTGTGGTTCCGAACACAGAGTGGCTTGGAGATCCACTCTTTACATCACATCTCTGCCTTTTGTTTCCTTATTTCCATCCATGTTACTGTTGATTGAAATATAGCATAATATTATTTGAGCTTCTGTATTCAGAAGTGCAAATTTTCATAACAAAAGACTTGTAACATTGTTTATCACAAATTCAAAACTGTACGAAACATGCCAAGCTAACTGTGACCAACTATCAATAAACTAGGTGTCTATTCAATAGACAACTTAATATGCATCTCAACTATCCATGTCATGCTATGGTGTCTGTTCAATCACCTACCTTTCTGTCTCCCACCACAGTTTATCAAATGCCTTTATATGACATATTTGGGAAATGTTGATATTGGTCCCTCTATGTATCCAAATCATTTCTGATAAATTATACTATTCAGTTAAGTACAACTCACAAGAGTGAGTTTCTAAACTTAAGGGCTAAAAGAATTTTAGGGGCAGCACGGTGGCTCAGTGGTTAGCATTGTTGCCGCACGGCGCCAGGGACCTTCGCCTTGGACAACTGTGCATGCGTGGAGGTTGCACAGTCTCCTTGTATCTGTGACAACAAGGTGCAGGGCTGGATGAACACAGCAGGCCAAGCAGCATCATAGGAGCAGAGAGGCTGACGTTTCGGGCCTAGACCCTTCTGATGCACCTTGTTGTCTCGGATTCTCCAGCATCTGCAGTTCCTACTATCTCCTTGTATCTGTGTGGGTTTCTTCCGGGTGCTCTGATTTCCTCCCACAGTCCAAAGCTGTGCAAGTTAGGTGGAATGGCCATGAGAAATTGCTCATTATGTCCAGGGATGTATAGGCTAGGTGGATTGGCCACGGGAGATGCAGGGTAATAGGGAAGGGAGGGTCGGTCTGGGTAGGATGCTCTTCGGAATATCGGTATAGACCCGATGGGCCGAACGGTCTGCTCCCACACTGTCGGGATTCTATGAATTCTAATTTTTCGCCATGCCTGTCACCATATAGCAAAACACATAGGACAGTTCAACTCCATTCAATTAAAACCTATACACAAGGAATAGTGCAAAACTCAAACGTAAAAGTTGCATTTCTCGACTTCTGGCCGTTCAGTTTAACGTGCTCAAAAATAAATATCGATGACGATTTTTACAATTAAGTATTGCTGATCGCAGTGCAACTCTTTCCATTTCAAAACCCCGGTTATAGCTGCTCATTTTCTGTAACCGAATATGGTTTCTCGATCTTTCAGCCTGAGATTACATTTAATAAAGATCATTATTGAAGGGTTCCTCAAAATTAAACAAGATTCATAATCGTTAACAGTCCGAATGAATCGATTAGGTGAAAGCTCACAAACGATGCTTCGTCAAAACAAGTTAATGAAGCGAATGACCCAGGCGCCATTCATTAGCAGACGGCTGAAATGAAAATTGCTAACAGCTCCCAGATTTAGTTCCGCGTGATAAAATGCTTGGCCGCGTTTGCCGATGAAGGAGAACATGGCTCAGGAAACCGACTTACTCTTGTGATCTGAACATCCCACACCACTGTTTAGCGCTGGCCCTATTAAAGGCAGGTGTCCCCGTACACGGGCAACAGCATTCCTGAAGTTTTAAAGCACCCTGAAACTTGTATGCAGATCAAATCAAGGATTACACCAGTGACATTGCTGTGTGCACTGGGGGCTGTCACTCTCAGTATTGTTATGGTAATTTTAAACGAACGTGTGAAGAGTTGTCACTGCCCCTGAACTTTTTTTTGATTTTCTGGAATTCCATTCATTCATCAACACAACAAAGGCTAAATCTGGGGATTTTCTATTTTTGTTCACATGTATGTAATAATGTAATATAGGACGTCAGATGTGTCACTATAGCCTCAGCAACTATTTTTAGTCTTCTGTTCCAAATAAGCCCGTGTTTCTATCCTGTAAGACCAATGCGTTTATTGGATAATCTAAACCCCTGCTCACTTCGGCCTTTCGGATCAGCCTCCAGCTTCTCATTTGAGTTTACACATACTTTGAAGCAGAAGTAAACATACATGACAGTGGTGTTTTATTTAAATATTAATAATAATTGTAAACACCTAAAACGCAGAATAATAAAAAGGTTCACTCAACACCCTCCTTTCTTCTTGTACTCCATTACCTCCTCTTTTATTGATTCTAACGTTACTTTTCGCTAACGCAAAATATTCAATGCATTTGAGCTTTTCATCCAGGTATGCTCGTGTCTCCACGAGGTAAGATACATATAGCTGAACAGGTGAATACTACCAAACTGACTTGTATAATTATGTTTTCCCATCTCAGACTCTCCATGATTAGACTGTCTACCCTTGACATCAAGGCAACATTTAAACTAGTGTGGCATCAAGGAGCTTTAGCAAAATTGAAGTCAGTGGGAATCAGGAGGAAAGCTCTCCAGCGGTTGAAGGCATGCCAAGTACAGCAATTCTTCAGATGTCTCTGATTTCTCTTCACAGATGCTGCCAGACCTGCTGAGCTTTTCCAGCAACACCTGTTTTTGTTTCTGATTTACAGAATCTGCAGTTCTTTTGGTTTTCTTCAGATAACAAAGCAGTTCATGATAATATGCATCATGAAGTGCACAACATATAGGTTTAGGCTGACGAGTGCTAAGTAACATTCATGCTACACAAGGCCAAGGCTGTGACCATCTCCAACGTCTCATCTTGACATTCAATGCCATTACCATTTTGAGTCTTGCACTGTCAACCTTATGAAGATTACCATTGACCAGAAACTAAATCGAACCAGCCATATAAATATTGTGGCAACTACAGCAGGTCAGATTTGACAATACTGATGTGTGTAACTCACCTACAGACCATCCAAAGACTGTCCACCATCCACAAGGCACAAGTCAGCATGGTATACTGTAAACTTGCTCCGATGAGTACAAAATGATCAGTAGCATTAGTGATTCCTCAGACACTAAAGCAGCTAATATGCAACAAAACCTGGACATGATTCGGGCTTGGGTTGATAAGTGGCAAGTAATGTTCACGCCACACAAATGGCAGGCCTTCTCCACCAGGAGAGAATCTAATAATTTTTCCATGACAATCATGGAATTACCAGCAAAATTCAAGATGCTCAATGCCATACAGGCCAAAGGAGTTATAGAGTCATAGGGTAATACAGCATGGAAACTGGTCCAAGCTGACTGTGATGCCTAGTCAGCTAGTTCCAATTGCCCGCATTTGGTAAATAAGCCTCTAAAACCTTCCCATCCATGTGTCTATCCAAATGTTTTTTAAATGTTGCTATTATACCTGCCTCAACCATTTTCTCTGGCAGCCCATTCCATATACACACCACTCTCTGTGTGAAGAAGTTGCCCCTCAGGTCCTTCTTATATCTTTCCCTTCTCATCTCAAACCTATGCCCTCTAGTTTTCAATTCCCCAGCCCTGGGAAAAAGACTGTATGCATTCAGCCTATCCACGCCCCTCATGATTTCATACACCTCAATAAAGTTACCCCTAATTCTCCTACGATCCAAGGAATAAAGTCCTATCCTGGCCAATCTCTCCCTATAACTCAGGCCTACTAGTCCTGCCAACATCCTCGTAAATCTTCTTTACACACTTTCCACTTTAATTATGTCTTTCCTATAAAAGGGTGACCAAAATTGTACACAATACTCCAAGTGCAGCCTCACCAACGTCTTATACATCTGGAACGTAACATCCCAACTCCTATACTGAATGCCTCGACTGATGAAGGCCAACATGCTAAATGCCTTCTTTACTACCCTGCTTCAATAGCACATCCACCGACTTAAATGTTTGAGTTCTGAAGTTTGAGTTCTGAAGAATGGTCATTGGATGTAAAATTTTAACTCTAATTTCTCTCTGCACATGCTGTCCGACCTGCAGAATTTGTCCAGCAATTTCTGTTTGGGTTTTGTTTTTGATTTTGAGCATCCACAAGTCTTTCAGTTTTTTTATTTAAGTATTTATTTCCTTCACCATTGCATAGTCGTAACAATGTGTACCATCTAAGAGATATTCCGCATCAACTCACCAAGGCTCCTTCAACAACACCTTCCAAATCTGTGTTCCCTACTATCTAGCTGGACAAGGGCAACAGGAGCATAGGAATATCACCACTTGTAAGTTCCCCTGTAAGTTCCCCTCCATGCCACACATTATCCTCTTATGGAACTACTTTGCTACTTCTTCACTTTTATTGGGTCCAAATCGTGGAACTTTCAACAACAACAGCAGTTTGGTTATCCCTGCATCAGATACATCTCAGTGGTTCATGAAGGTGGCTTCCCACCACCTTCTCAACTGCAACTGAGGAAGCCACAAATATTGCCTGACCAGCAACATCCACATCCTCATCCCAAAAAAAAATACAAAGATACTTTAACAGATTGTCACTAACAAATACAGTATGATCAACACAAGACATTCTTTTGTGTACCTGAGAGTTTAAATTCCATGTTTGTTTCACAGCTAATGAAAGTCATGTCTGTGTTAGTGTAATCCCTCTTCTCTCAACTTTAACTGTTGTTATTTTTTTATAAAAAAACCTCCTGTAAAAATTAGGGTAGGAACCTCGTGGTTTCTGGAATGTGCATCTCTCAGTTAGAACACTGGCTTTCATGAATCTACAACAGTACTGTCAGCAGTTGTAAACAATACTGTCCTAACCCAGTGAAGAATTACTGAGCTGCTAGCCCAGCTGGACTGTTACTCATTGAAAGTAGAACATAAAAATCAGATTGTTGTTAATGGAGTATCTCCTTAACAGAATAGATACATTACTTGTTTGTCCCTTTATTTGATCACGCAGCTAATGTACCTTGGCAGTAGGACCCTGAAAATGTTGGCCTCAGGATTAAGTTTCATTGTTGAGGAGGAAGTGAAGTAAACTTGTAGCAGCTGCAGTTGTTCCATGAACCCAGGAGGTGCTATCCTAATACTTTATAACTCAGCAATAAGCAAAATGTTGCAGATTTTCTTTGCCTTTTTAAAGGTGACCACTGGCAGTCTTTTCATGGATGGCAGGTAAATTGTATAAACTCTGACAAGAGCAGACAAAATTAAGAGTCTGAATCTGAAATGAGCACTGAAGCCTCATTCCAATATAGAAATGAGCCCTACATTTACGGTCACCTAAATAAAGGCTCTGACCATTTTAGCAGTGACCTGAATTCCCATATATGTTGGCAACTGGCCATTGTTAAGTTGCTAATTGTACCTATTTCGAAGAGCAGGCTCAGTTAAATTTAACCACAATATGTTTGTATGTAACGTAAATTTAAAAAAAATCAAAAATGTCCTATTTATACAAATTCTCGATTCCAGTAATGCAATTTAAATGTAAGACTAGGTCCCTGCTCTTTCCCTAACTGTCTGAACCCTGGATACTTGATATGCAGGATGAATGTTTTAACTAGCACATTAATTGCAACTGATGCTGCAGTTTCCACTTGACAATTAATTAATTATACAAGAGAGAGTGAGCAGATAGTTCCTCGATCAGGGATTATATGAACTAAGGAAACCGCAAATTCTCAACCTGTTTTGTGGAACTGCATATTGTTTCTTGTTACTTCAGATTCCAGGCAATTTCTTAAAATTAAATTCATGATGATACATAATAACATAACCAGAACTACCTAGAACTGACTCCAGTCAAGCAAGACTATTTATTTCAGATAATGACAATGGCATAGTATTTTGTTTGTGAAGGACATATATGACTGGGGACTCGGGTCTCTGTGCTACGGGAGGCTACAGAGATTTGCCACAGAAAACATTTGCCTCCCATTTTCAAGTTGCTGATAATAATATAGAATTCTATTTTATTCGTGCGTAGCATATGAGCAATTTCCTGCATGCTCCCACAATTTTTAAAGTTCAATCCTCCCAAACCTCTGTTGCCATTGCTTTCCTAGGTATTGGAGATGAACAAGTATTCTTGGATATGTATGTATATATATATATATATATATAGAAAACTTGTTGAATGATATACTTCCACCACTTGAGTATTTTTCCAATATGCCTACCCTAATTGAACAATATTTTGGACATTATCTGTCATTACAAGCAGGAGGTCCAATGGATATGAGATGCTGAATGATCATGGACACATATCTATTCCATTTGTGTCTGCTCTGATACCAGCGAAGCAATGGTGGTAAGTCCTGTCAGTGCTTTCAATCGTATCATCACAGAGCTGAACAATATTAACAACTTGTCAAGAAATACAAAATCTTCATGATCTAGACAATGAATTTATTTCTAACTAGTAAAATCAATGATCTCACAAATTTTGGTGTAGAGAGATGGATTCTAGGCCAGATTTCCATCCTGAGAGAATATTGGGAAAGTGTTTGACAGGGTGCATGCTACACTTGTCTGATGGCTCCTTGATTGGGCCTCAAATAAATATTTGGATACGCTACCAGTGCTCAGCAAGACCACTTTAGATCCAACTTGCCAGTTGCTGTTGGATCCTATGGGTTCTTACTTATCTAATCAACCTGCCACATGGGATCTCATCAAAAATCTTGCTAAAAATCCATGTAAGTGATTGAAATATGCTACCCTCATCAGCCCTTCTTGATGTAGCTCCTCAAAAGATCAAGTTAGTCAGACATGACCTG